CTCCCACCAGCCGTCGACGCTTGGAAGGTGGTCCAAGCAAGTAAGCACTCCAGGCTCCTCAACAGGGCGCCCAACCGGGCCGCTCCCGCCCCACACCGAAGCGAGAACAGTCACCGCAGCAAGGACCGATAGCACACCGATCCTGGCGCCGGTACGCAGCCGCCCAAAGGACCGCGCACACGAGGAACAACCTTGGAAGCTTCTTGCCGCGCACACGAGGAACAACCTTGGAAGCTTCTTGCCGCGGCCCTGGACGCGGACCCGCAAGCAAAGCACGGGTCATGGTCAACCGTAGCAACGGCGACCCCACAATCCGCACATGCCTGCGGAGACGGCTCCGACTCGAACACCGTCTCAACCGCGCCACAACCACAGGCCGCAGTGCTAACGAGGCCGGAACGCACTTCCGCAACAACCTCGCCCGGCTGGAGAGAGTGATCACACTCTTGGGCTGCAAGCAACACAAACCCTTTACCCTCTCCTGTGGGCCAAAGGCCTGGCACAGCCTCAACCCCGCACTCAACCGGAAGCACTACCTCGGACAGGGATCCCTCTGCGGAGACTCCTGACTCCCGCACGACCGGCACCAGCACCCCATCGCCTGGCGAGAGCTCGAGCGGCTCTTCTCCGTCGTAGCGGAGGAGCTCACGACTTCCGCCCCCAGGCTCGGTGCATGACGCGTCGTCCAGGCTCGACAACCGCGCTTCTTCGAAGGCATAGGCCCTGTCCTTCCGGGTCTTGCTGTGATCCTCACATCTGGGCATCCTGATTCCCAGCGTGTCGAGGACGTGAAAGTCGGGACCCGGCCTGAAACCCAGGCCCATCCTTCCGGCGCAGTCCAACGCTCTGCCGCCGAGGATCAGTCCGTGCCAATCGGACGTTCCCCTGGCTGCGATTTTGCATCGCACGAAAATTTCAGTGTTGGGGCGACAGTCGTCCGCCGTCCTGCCTTCCACCAGCGTGACGCGCAAGACGGCTGCCCCGCTCAGAGGAACGGGGGCTCCCGAAGCAATGCCATGCACGTATTCGGGGTGGACCCACTTTTCGAGTCTCACGACCGGGAAGCCGGGATCTTCGGTGCCGATCCCCAGCTCTGCAGCCCGGTTCATCATGCCCACCACGAGTTCCTCTGTCACGTGGTTTGCGCCGGCGCATCCGTCGAGCATGCACTCGACCTTACGGTCGAGCACCTGGACTACCGTCCTGTACTGGTAGCCTCCTGGCTCGTTGTCTGCCAGGCTCCACCAGTCCTTCGGCAGATCGTCCAGGGTGGCGAACTTGTCCCGCCCGCCCTTGCTCAACGGAAGCGCGTGCACCGCGGCGCGTCCTGCGGCTCCTGAGACGCCTGCCTGGACGCCTGAGCTTCCTATCTGGACACCGAACGCGGCGAAGGGGTTAGACATGGAAGCCCCGGAGGGCGCGGCCCAGTTGGCAGGCAAGGCCGGCGTCCCTCCTGAGGTCGTCAGGTTGTGGACCATGTCGCAGCTGGCTCCTTTCTTGCACGACCCATTCTTGGAGAAAAAGGGGCAAACAGTGCCTGGTGGCTTTGCCGCGCCTTTGGCCGCAGCCTTAGGCTTTGCGTTGGCCTTAGCCTTGCCACCTCCCTTCCCCTTGCCCTTGCCTTTCGCCGTGGCAAAGGTTTGGTCACCCTTCTTGGCCGCGAGAGCTTTTCTGCGAAGCTCCTTGTCGTGGCTGTACGGGCAGGCATCCCCTTTCGGGCAATTCCCGTGGTCGCGAAAGTGGAAGCAGATCTTCTTGTCCGCTCCTTTGCCAGCTCCCTTCGACGCAGCGGCAAACGTCTGATCCGCGCCAGCTTTGGCCGCGGCAGCTGCTCCTTTCGCAGCAGCCTTGGCGGCGGCCTTGAGGCTCTTAATCTCCTTCTGAGCCTCGGCTAGCGCGACCGACGGGTCCGCGCTCGGAGAGCCGGTCGTGGAGTACACAGAGTGGGAAACAGCCCGGTGAGCTGCTTCCCTCTGTTCGTACTCCAAGACGACCTTGTGGCTCTCCTCCCAAGTCTGCGGCCCTCTCAGCCCGCCATCCTTGGGATCGCCGGGCCACAACCGCTTGTCGTTACGTATCTCCTTTTGGAGATACGGGGGCATCTTGCGGAGGTACGAGAGATACAACTCTCGTGGGGTCTTCCCAAGACCCACCGCCTCAAGGTCCGCGATCGATGCCTCAAACAAAGGCTCGAATTGGTGGCCTGTGAGCTTGCCCTTAGCGAGGGAGGCATGCTCACCATCCACGCGGACTTCTCTTTCCTCCCGCGATTCCCCGAACATCAAGTGCTTGTTCTTGATGCGGTCGTACACCGCCTGTGGGTCGGAGAGAACCTCTCCCGACTTCCACGCTGCGCGGTAGGCGTTCGTGTACGTCTTCATGCGCGAGCCGCGGCAGCGCCCGCGTAGCGCTAGCAGCTTCTCGCGCGCACTCATACCGCGACAGTTGTTGGCCAGCGCGCAGACGTCCTCGAACTCCTCGTAGAACAGGACAACGTCTCGCGCGTCCGACTTGTCGTCGGTCAGCGTCGGCCACGTGAGGTCAGTTTTGACCGTCGTTATGGAGCTTTGCCCGCCCCTCTGCGCTAACGCTTCTTTCAGCGCTTCAGTTTGGGCGGCGAGTGCGGCGGCGAAATCGCCCGCCGGGTTTTGGGACCCGGTCTGCGAACCTCCGCCGTCTGAACCTCGCTTCAGGGCTTCTATCTCCATCTCCAGCGCCGCAAGCTTCGCGCGCAAAGGGGAATCGCCGTCCGTCGCGCCCAGGTCACGGGCCGCGGAAGGACCACCTGCAACCTCGGCAGTGTGCAAACCTTCACGGTCCAAACCTACCCCCAACCCACTTGCAGTCGCAGGCTGTGGGAGCCCTGGGGAACGCGGCCCCACGGCTTCAACTGGCACATCGGACGGGGAGCTCCAAACCTTCTCTTGGCTCGAGCTTTCTTTTCCCCCTAGCGCGAGGATAAGCTCCCCGATGCATTGGATTTCACGCTGAATCTCCTCTGCGTCTTCGGGGTCCTCGCCACCGCGCAAAGCCGCGACCGAGAATCTGGTCCGCAGCCGACGGACCATCTTTGTCGGATGCCAGTCCCCGCCTATCTTGGAGAACTCATCCGCAAGGAGGGTGGCTTTGGTGCTTAAGGCGTCAAGGTCACGGGAGCTCACCGTGACTCCATGCGCTTTCAGCGCGAGGACAATCCGCGAAACGCGCGTCAAGTAGTCCGCGACCGGTTCTTGGTCTGGACGGAAAATCGCGCGCAGCTCCGCCTGCAAGCCCTCTGCGGTGCCTGGCACTGAACCTGCTGTCGACGGCGGACCGGACGGTCCCGCCGGGCGGGACCCTGGTGCCGTAGCAGGGACATAGGCAGCACCGGTAGGGACCATGGCCAGCTCCCTAGCCGCGGCGCTGACGTCCACCCGCGGCGGACTGTCGCCTCCAGCGCCCGAGGCCTCAGGGACTAGCTCGGAGTCCTCTTCTTCTTCCTCCTCATCCTCGTCCTCGTCTTCGGCGTCATGGAGGAACTTCATGACTTTCCGCCAGAGAGCCGCCTCTTGCTCTGGCGTAGTGCTGACCCCATCCCGCTTGGACAACGGACGGCTGCCAGTCTCCCTACGCCACTTAAGCCAAGCGACGTAGCTCATCCGCTCGGGATAGGGAACGTCTCCACCCTCGATCGCTTCGAGGAGGGTGACGCCCTCGGCCTGACCTGCAACCTCTGCGGACATCGCCGCGCCTTGGTTAGCAGGCCGCAGGCGTGGCACACGAAGCGCCGCGCCTTGGTTAACAGGCCGCAAGCGTGGCACACAGTCCACGCGTCCAGGTCACGGACCGCGACAGACAAGCAAAGCAATGCTTGCCCACTCGGGCCGTAGGCACAAGAGCTGTACGTTTCCCAGAACAGCCCCCAATTGTGAAGTCGACCAGCACTGGACTTGCACTAAGCCAATGCAATCACAGCCCGGTCACGCTGTTTTACGACTTCGCGAGTTCAAGCACTTGTGCAGCTACGCCTGAGTGCGTCCGGTCGGACCGCACAGCAACCTAAGAGCTACTGTACGAATCTACCGTGCTCAAAGGCACAAGCTCGGTACTTGAGCCAAAATATTGGCATTGATTCGAATTGCAAAACTCTACATGCAAAGGAAAACTACAAGGTGGTCTGCCGAGTCCTAATGCATCACAGAGCAGAAGATGCATATGCACTCATGTCAGCTCACATTACTACTCTTACTACTCTTACTACTCTTACTACTCTTACTACTCTTACTACTCTGACAACTCTTACTACTCTTACTACTCTTACTACTCTTACTACTCTTACTACTCTTACTACTCTTACTACTCTTACTACTCTTTCTACTCTTACTACTCTTACTACTCTTACTACTCTTACTACTCTTACTACTCTTACTACTCTTACTACTCTTACTACTCTTACTACTCTTACTACTCTTACTACTCTTACTACTCTTACTACTCTTACTACTCTTACTACTCTTACTACTCTTACTACTCTTACTACTCTTACTACTCTTACTACTCTTACTACTCTTACTACTCTTACTACTCTTACTACTCTTACTACTCTACTCTTACTACTCTTACTACTCTTACTGTACTACTCGTACTATTCTTACTACTCTCACTACTCGTACTGCTTTTGCTACTCTTGCTACTCTTACTACTCCGTACTACTTGCTACTTGCGACTTACTACTTGCTACTTCCTGCTTGCTATTACGATTACGACGACGACTTCGACTACGACTAAGAGCACGAGCACGAGCACGAGCACGAGCACGAGCACGAGCACGAGCACGAGCACGAGCACGAGCACGAGCACGAGCGCTCAAACAAAGAAATCGCAGAATGAATCCAAAAACGACTGATCAAAAACCCACTTCACCAAAGCAATCCCGCAGCCTTTTTTCCTCGCTCGTGTATCTTCACAATATGTTCGCTTTGGTGATGCTCCGATCGCGGCTTGCTCAATGTCAATCCCAGGTCTCAGATCAGCTGAGGCAGCAGGGCTACAGGTGGTGCCTCGGTGCATCACACTGAGTAGCTGTTTCATTGTTCAAATTACTCTACACCTAAACCACCCCATTCCCCACTCGATGTGCCACTTTGCAGTCTCGAAGCGGGTGTCTTAGCTTTTGATCGTGGTAAAGGCACCTTTGGAGAACAGGGTCTGACTTTGAGGCAGGAGCCGCAGCCGAACAAACAGCGACAGCAATCGTAATGAGTTCGACAGAACATCTCACTCAGAGATTTTGCACTGCCAGGTCCTGTTGTGGATCTATACTGATAGGGTTTGTGGCGGGTCGATGTCCCGATTGTTATCTGCTTTGGCCTACGTGTTCTCACGGGTGAGCTCACATCGGAGGAGTCCTGATCAAACATGCACATGTGCCATCATGTGCCATTGCGGTGCTCGCATATGCCTCACTCTCCAGTACGGAAGGTGGCTTGAGAGGCTAGAATTGCGAAAGCTCCCGGGGTCCTGTGGTTTGGGAATGGCTGGGATAGGCCTGGCACTTTGAGGGGGCTGCTTGCGAAGTTTGCTGTGTTTACAGTTGGGGAGTTCGAAGCCTGGGAGTCCAAAGGTGCCACACCTGCAAGATCGTCCGGCCCCCACGGGCGTCGCATTGCAAAGACTGCGACCACTGTGCTCCTCGGCTTTGTGCGCGTGAACCCCTTGCATCAAACCCTATGATTCACGGGGTTTTGGAAAAACGACAAAAGCCGGGACACTCCCAACACCACTCACCCTAAGTAAAGCTGTAAACCCTGCAGCTCTGGTCGGTGACGAAGCTGAAATTCACTGGGTCCTCCAAAAGCCCAGGTGCTTCGTTTCGATCACCATTGCCCCTTCGTCAATAACTGCATCGGGCAGAGGCATCCAGGGGAACCCCTAGAATTCACGCCCCCTAAAGTAGCTGTAAACTCCGCTACGTAAACACCTTAAACCCTCCTGATTCTTGCCCTCGCTGAGGAGTCGCTGAAAAAGGTTGTGCGGGGGGGGGGGGGTTGGCAAGGGGAGCAGACCCTGACTTTCGAGTCGCGAGATAATCCTTGAAATCCTTCCATTCAGCAACATAGCTAGCAGCTAGATCCATCTTTCACAAAGAAAGTTGATGAAAGAGAGCAGGAACTACCACTTCTTCATCGGCTTCACCACGAGTGCCATGCTTTTCGCCTTCGTGGCGCTGCCGGCGATCCTGTGGACTTTCTCCAAGCCGAGCTGGGCACCGAGGGAGTGGCTCTTTCTTTCTTCCCCTGTCTCTCTGTTCTCTCTCTCTGTTCTCTCTCTGTGTTCTCTCTCGGCTCTCTCTGCTCTCTCTCGCTCTCGCTCTCGCTCTCGCTCTCGCTCTCGCTCTCGCTCTCGCTCTCGCTGTGCTTTCTCAAACTTATGCTCACCGTCAGAGATGATGTTGAGAGATGTTGGAGCTCACTTGCGGTTGAGGGCCTTTCCTGCCTTGCTTGGGGTTCTTCTTGTCCTTGCTCCGTCCAGAAACTGTGCAACATTCTTTATCCGCGTGCATGGCCCTCTCATGCCATCTACACCTGACCATAAACACCTTAAGAGCCTACGTGAATCCCAGACGATTCGGACGACTCCGTAACCGAAGCGGCTTTGCCTTGGTATCGATTGATTGCCGCGGCCCTGGGCTTTTGGATCTCCGTTTGGCTTTCAAAGCCACTTTAGTGTCCTTTAGTGTCCTTTAGTGTCTTTAGCCTTTCACATGACAGGCGACGGCCAAGTAATAATGCCTTTCATGTGGACTGGGCAGATTCCTGCGACAAGGCTCAAGTATTGTAGCAGTTCCATCATCTGCAACGTCACCAGCAACGAGCGCAACTCTGCAATCCCCTGAGGTTTTAGTGAGCTGCGGTGTGGTGGCCGTGTGTGCTGCCCTTTTAGCCTGGGCCCCAATGGAAGAACCCTGTTTCGCCGGCCTGGGAGTTTTGCATAGTTACATAGTTCTACTCTACCGTTGGGTCTCTGAGGGTTCTGGGCGTTTTAGGGAGAAGCGGTCGCAGGCTGCTCCTGTTATTGATTGTTGCACGCCCCGTTTTGCAAGTTTGGTGGGCTCAGATGGGGTGAGAAGCAAGACAGAAGAGGTGCTCAGTTCCTATCAGGTCCAGAGCCTTACAGTTCTGTTGCCTCCTTCGAGCAACTATCAGAGCTAAGGTGCTGAGTTGAAACAAGCAAACACACGGACCCTGCATGTCTTGAATCTCGCAAGGTCTTGCTGTGGCTCTATCACTTGTTTCTGGCCTTCTCCGGAAAGACCACCAAGGACCGCGGATCCTGTGGCGGAGCTGTAAGGCTGAGTCTGTAGTTTGCCACGGTTTGAATGGTTGTCACTCGTGCGACTCGAGAAAAATCCCCCTAGGAGCACCGGCGGCGTTTGGACGTCCGCAGCGAGCCGACGTTCTTCGCAGCCCGGGGTCCAGCACTTGTCGACCCCAACGACTGGGCCCGCCGCTCAAAGGGGGCTTTCTGGAAAACGGGCAAGCATCTTCCGGGCTCAGGTTTCCAGTGAGGCTTTCCGGGCTTTGCCCACTTTAGCCCAAAACACTTTTGAGGTTGACTTTTTCCAGTGTCCTGGATTCAGGAGTTGGGGGAACTCGATCCCAACATTGGAAATCTTGAGCCGCAGTCCGTCAATTGAGCTTCTGAGCAAACCCCATTGCAGTTCAGGGCTTGGAGCAGGCCAGCCCAGCCTTAGTGCAAACGGGTCGGAGGGCAACGGAGGACGCTCGTGAAAGTGAGCGGTCTGCCCAAGCCTTGTCTGCTGCCATGGCACTTGTGCTGTTGGGAGCTGGGTGCAGGTGGGGAGGTCCCAAGAGACATGATTGTCAACTGAAACCTGAGAAGCAAGACTGCTTCGCTGCGTGCGCGAGGCACGCCCAGTTTGCGTGCTCAGGTCTGAAATCTGTGTGTCGAATGTGCGTCCGCGTGACGCAGATTCCTCAGCTTCAATTCAACAAGCCTCCGTCGACGTTTGGACGGTAAGCGGCAGGAACACCTACCCGTGGAGTACTTCCCGAAGCGGCGTTCCCTGGCTATCTATCTGTGCGCGAAAGGTTGTCGAATGGCCAAGCGAAGCCGAGTTGCGTCATGTGTGAGCCGAAGAAAACTCCGAGCATTCCGGACGATTGGCATACAATACATGAGAAGCCGGTACCACTTATTCAATGCGTGATCGTTGTTTTTCTCGAAAGATTCAGTGCCTGCGGGTCAGATCGTGGGATTGTTTTTGTTCCTTCTAGTGCATTGCGAGATCTTGTGACTCTAATTCGACTTGCTGACACGTCGAAGGCGGCGGGCGCGGTGTCAGACGAGCCGTTTGGAACGACCCCGAGGGAGAGCCCCCGCAATTATCCATAATCCCTTCATAACAGGGACAGAATCCAAGCAAACTACACAGCTGAGACCAGCAACTATGATGCGACAAAACCGACAGTGCAGATGAGTCCTTGATGATTATCTTGTGTTCGTTTGTTTCCGCCTCCAGCTTGGTAGCATCTGACACGATGAGGTCGATGAGGCAGCGCTCTTTGCGCAGAGCAGCTAGCGATTTGACACCAATCTTTGAACCCTGCAGTGCAAGCGGGGTGCAGCCATGAACAGCCCTCGAGCTGGAATTCGGTGTTCTGTTCCTATAGCAGAGGCTGTGATCGAAGCGGTGGTGGTGACATCCGGGCGTAGGTGTTGAAGAGTTTGTTGAAGGAGCAAACGACATGGTCAGAAATCTCACCATCGCTGCCGGAAGCTACTCTGTCCTTGCGGAGAGTCAGGGGTGAGCCCGCTGCAGACTCGATAGTTCGTAGACTCCAGACCGCCTGACGCGCCAAAGACTCTTTCAGCAATTGCAGTTGACACGGCGCTGCGCAAGACATGCAGAGTGCCCTGGAGATCTCTTTACTGATTCCTTCCTACCTTCTCAATCGCTGTTTGGGGGGGGGGGGGGAAGATTCACTCCAGTAAAACGTGCCCAGCGCGCTGCCTGGACTCTGGAGCCCGGTATAGAGATTTCGTTTTTGTCACATAGAAGTTGATTATTGATTATTGATTATTGATTATTGATTATTGATTATTGATTATTGATGATTGATGATTGATTATTGATTATTGATTATTGATTATTGATTATTGATTATTGATTATTGATTATTGATTATTGATTATTGATTATTGATTATTGATTATTGATTATTGATTATTGATTATTGATTATTGATTATTGATTATTGATTATTGATTATTGGAATACTCTTTAAGCTTTTGAAAGGTCCTTTTCAACATCCTCCCCTTCAAGACAGAAGTATCCCGAAACTGAGGAGTGCTGGAGTGCTCTGTTTGAGTGCTCTGCTTGTTGCTGTGGCTCGAGACGGGCAAGAGGCCCCGCTCGCGGGGCACTCCGTGCAGTGCCCAGTGCTCTGCAGCGGTGCGGCTCCCCGGAACAGGGAAAGCTCGGAGAAAGCTCGGAGAAAGCTCGGAGAAAGTTCGGAGAAAGTTCGGAGAAAGTTCGGAGAAAGTTCGGAGAAAGTTCGGAGAAAGTTCGGAGAAAGTTCGGAGAAAGTTGGGTTTAGGGTGAGGAGAAGGGTGTAGGGATTTTGGGGAAAAGCTGGAAAGTGAGAAAGCCACCCATGCCCAGGATCAATGGAACCGGCCGGGGCTGAAGAGCAGCCTAGGCAGGGAAGCATGTGTTCAGTCAGCTCAGTCGCTATAGATGTTCTATTTACTCCCGTAAAGCTCCTGTCAGTCAGCTCAGTCGCTATAGATGTTCTATTTACTCCCGTAAAGCTCCTGAAGCCACAGCCAGACCTAAGGCAATCAAAATGAAATCGAAAAGAAATCCAACAGAGAACATCTCATCTCAAACTTGGGCTCTTCGCGCCAGGCCCGGGCCCAGCCAAGAGATGTCCGAGGCCTCGCCAAGGCGGAAAAAGATCTCCAGAACGTCATCTGTCAAGTCAACACACATCGTTTAGATAGCGCTAACCCGTGATTTATAAGGCAGGTGGGGAGGGAGCGGGGTAGGGGGGGCGCCGTTTCAGACCTACGTTGAAGCTCCAGTGATTGCAGATGTGTGCGGATGGGAAGGTTGGGGCGAGTCATGACAAGCGCCGACATGCGTCGACAAAGAGCCTTCGTTTTTGTCACCCTTGCAGAATGGCGGGAGGTGGGACTTGGCGACATCCGGTGCTCCCGAAGTGGAGAAGCCACCTGAGGTTGGGACTGATCACAGCCACGCTGCCCCCCCTTCCCTCCCGGCCTGTCTTCCTCTCCCTCTCCCTCTCCCTCTCCCTCTCCCTCTCCCTCTCCCTCTCCCTCTCCCTCTCCCTCTCGCTCTCCCTCTCGCTCTCGGGGTGCAGGGAGGCTTCAGCGACATTTTAAAGGCAAAGGACTCCCGCGAGGGTTTTAGGGTAACGCAATACGCTTGTGCCACGTCTGCTGCTTTGTCTTCAGATATACCGCCTAGCAACTTCATCATCTCCACCTTCGGACAAATCGTTTGCACCCTCCCCGCCCCCTTTCCCCCACCCCCAACCAAACCCCTTTGTGCCCTTGATGTGCGATGCTGCTTCCAGTTGCCGCCCGGGCAGCGCAGACGCCCAAGCAGCCGCCGGGACCGCGAGCCACGGCCACAGAAGGGGATCGAAACCCATCCGCTTCTGGAAGCTTTTCTCCCATTTTCGCAGACGGGGCGCTTCCCTGAAAGGTGCCCCCCTGGTTTTGGAGCGCTCGCTCGGAATGTTTACGCTTTCCATGTTGTGTCGAGAAACCTAAAAGACCCCCCGAGCCCGAAACCCTAAGCAAGCACGAGACCTGTTTTAGAACATCCACGGATGGTTTCCAAATGCCGTCAACAAAGCCTGAAAGAACACCTCAGACGTCTGGAAGATTCTAGAAGTCTGGGGCTTTGCAAAAAGAACACCCGAAGCAATCCCCGAAGAACCTTGGAAGCTTCAAAGACCGCTTTTCCTCCGAGGCAGGCCGTCCTGGTGGTTGAGGAGAGGGCCGAGGCCTGGAAAAAAGGGACGCGGCGAGCCGGCAGTCTGTCCCGAGCCCAAGGCCCAACCGCTGGGGCGCCAAGCCATGTACACCGAGCAGGACATGGTGACTTCTGCGGTTCTCCACGTTTCTTGCAAAGAGAGAGTCTTTCTTTCGACCCCAACTCTGTCTCGCTCTGCTCTTGGGCTGCCCCACCACCGCACTCCCGCAAGCCCAGAAGCATTCACTCCAAAGACCTTTCGAAAGACCCCTCTCCAAGAACCTAAAGAGAACTGCATCAGAGCGCCCCAAGAACATTCAAAGTCGACCACTCGCCACTGGAGCTCCGAACGTCCTCCGTCTCCTGCACGTATTATGTTGGTAGTAACTTTGGAGTTGCTGAAGTTCCGGACGTCCTCCGTGTTCTACGTTGGTACTACAAGAGTCGGCTATGGAGCCCCACTACTTCCGGACGTCCTCAGTATCGCATTTCGCGAAACCACGACGACAGTTTCGCATGTCCCGAGCCCAGACGTCCAAAAACTATGACATCCGCATTTCGTGAGCCCAGAAGTCAATCAAAAGCGATGACCTCGGAATTGTGAATTCCCCTTAGCTTGCGCTCCCCTGCTGGGACCTAGGAGCCGAAAGTACGGCGCCTGTCGAGGAAAATGTGGTTTCGGGAGTCTTCAAGAACTCCCCAGGCGGGCCCACCGAGGCGAGAGCACGGTGTGAGCAGGCCTCGAGAAGATGGTACGGCGAGAGCGGACGCACGAAGTGGTCCAAGTGCCCGAGCGAAACAGCGCCACGTCTTTACCACGTCTTTGCGGTACCGAAGAGTTCGAGTGCTGACACGGCGCCAAAAACCTGCAGTGGGAAGTTGCTGTTTGCAAATGCCGAGCACCTCTGCTTCTCCGAGGTGATAGAGGAAAGCTTAATCCGGTTGTCTTGCGCAATCAAAGATTGCTGATTCGCAAAGTCCTGCAACACTGAACGCTGGAAACGACGCGGAAGCCGGCAGGATTTGGCAATCGCCACCACAACAGCTCGTGGCGCAGGGCTCAGTGCATGACAGGTGCGCGGTCGATCGGGTACAGGGCTGTTGCGGGCGGCCTTGAGGATGGTGCAGGTCCGACTTCGTCTTCAGGGTCAGGTGAGGGGTTAACGCTTTAGAAGCTTAAGATTCCGGTTCAAAATCCCTCGCCCTTTTTCATGTGCGGATTATGGGTGGCGGCCCAAGGCCATTCCACCCATGTCCGTTGGGCCGCTAAAGGGGCAGTTAACGGGGCCAGAGCTGTCGCTGCATGGGCCATGATTAGTCATGCATTCCCGCGCTTTCGGCGCTTTCCCAGGGTCAAGGAGAGCCTTTTCTAGAGGTCACTGCAGCTGTTCCATCAGCCACCGTTGGGCAAGCTTTGCAGTGGAAATGTGCACGGCGCACCGGGCTGATGCTTAATCTAAGAATCTAGGAAAAAGAATTGAATCATTTGGGCACAGCACAGCGATCGAGCCCAGTAGCTTGGTCCTAGAGGTAGTGACTCCTTTTGTTGGGTTTGATCTGAGGAAAGGCCGAGAACCCGGGAGGTTGGAAGAGCTCTTTCGATGAGGCCGGACGAAGCGTGTCCAACCCAGTAGGTGAATAGGTGAAGAGTAGGTGGCGTCGATGGCCGTTGCACGGCGATTGCTGAACATGTTGAGGACTCTGTAGCAGCGGGCTGGATGCGCCCCTCCCCCCTCCCCCAAACAATTCTGCATTTGGGAAAGCCAGGCTGCCCTACATGTCAGGGACTTTTTCCAGGATCTGAGGCGTGGAACGTTTGTGTGCTCACCCCGCCACTTTGAAGAGTTGCTGCAGCTCCGGATCGATAACTGGCATGTTCTGCTATCTGCGCTGCCATATTGAATCCCACGAGTGCGCCGAAAGCCCCTACAACTGTCAGGAAAAGCCGGGATCGTGAAAAAGGTCGGCAGGCCACGGGCCCCCTGTGGCTTCACTTGGCTGCCCAGGCGGGGGGTCCGGGGGGGAGGGTTTTCCGTTTCATCAGAGAAACAAGGTTTATGGGTGGTAGTGGTTGGCCCCAAGCCCCGTGAGAGGCAAAGAACCTGGCGGACCAGTTGAACCTACAGCAGCTCCTAGAGGCGTGGCTTTGGCAGTGTGCCGAATGTTCAGGGATGTTCGGTGGGTGGGCCGTGCAGGGGTGGTGTTGGTGGGCTCTCTACCATCTTGTCTCTCCACCACGGCCAGAGCTTCGGGCTTCGTCGCCCAAGCCTCCAAACCATAAGCCCTCACGCCGTGAAGGTTCTCAAGCTCTTTTGCTCGGTCCGCTACGAAGACTACGAGCTGTACATGCGCTTACTCGGTGAGGTGGCCCGTGTCCCTTTCTCGCTTCTGAAATGCATTGGCTGACTTGCTTTCCATGAGACCCCAGAATCCCGAAATCAGCCCGAAATTCCCGAAACCCAAATCCACTGAAGACGTCATGAGTTTGGTGTGGAGGTGCCGCACTACATCAAGCAGGTGCAAGGGTGGGGGAGAGCAAGTGCCGTGGACTCCTGCAGAACTCTTTCGAAATCCTGCAAGAAGAAGCAGGATGCTGACAGCAAGAATCCCACAACAACTGAACATTTTGTGTGTCCAAAATTGAAGGCCACCAAATGTCACCAAATGTGACCACTGTTGCCTCAATTTTCCGGAGAGGCCGGGCAGGAGCAGCTTTGCCAGCTGCTGCGGCTCATGGCGCGCCGGCGCCTCCGTGAGCGGAACTATGCCCGGGCCCCATCTCCACAGGCTGAGGGATGACTTTTGAGGCCGAGGGAAGTGCATGGAAAGGTGTTTCTTTACGTTTAAATGACTGGGATGGTTTCAGGCGTATCGTGGAGTGTTGTGGAGTTCGGTGTGATTATGGCATTATGGTCCTTTGAGGCCACCCCCCTCTCACTGAGCAGGGTCGTAGGGCGCTGTCGTCAAGGTGGACATGGCGGTCGCGCACCTGCTCAGCAAGATTCGCTTCGCGGAGGAGCTCCTGTCTGGCAGGAGAGGGAGAAGCAGCGGCTGAACCTGGCCCCAATCCAATCTACCCCCAATCTACCCCCAATCTACCCCAATCTACCCCCAATCTACCCCCAATCTACCCCCAATCTACCCCCAATCTACCCCCAATCTACCCCCAATCTACTCCCAATCTACCCCCAATCTACCCCCAATCTACCCCCAATCTACCCCCAATCTCCCTAGCTGCAGCTTCTATGGTTGGGCAGTCTAGCCCGCTTGTTTAGGGTCACGCTGTCTCCCTGTCTCTCTCTGTCTCCCTCTGTCTCTCTCTCTCTCTCTCTCTCTCTGTCTCTCTCTCTCTCTCTCTCTTTCTCTCTGTTTTTGTTGGCTTGGGCTTGCAGTTGCGAGCGGTGCAGGAGAAACCACGTTTTGGTAACGTGGGGCATCAAGGAGCCCCGAATCTGACCTCAGCCGCAGCCGCCAGGCTCCTCGTGAAGACGGCGAACGCGTTGGCAGCCCTGGAGCCGCCCGGCATCGCGCGGTTTTTCAAAAAGACCCTTTTGGGTGTTTGTTGGGAAGTTCACGAGGGGATCTTTTGAGACCGCCCCACTCTGCGCAATGCTGTACCAACATGTTGATCCGCGCGATCACAAGGTGCCGGTCTCAGCCAAAGTTCGTGGAACACTTCAACCGACACTTCGAGCACCGCATTGAGGACAGATTCGAGAATACTGCGAATGCTGAGAATCCTGAGAATCCTGAGAATTTCTGAGAATATCGTGAGAATGTGGAGAATCTTGAGAATTCTGAGAATCCTTGAGAGAACGACCAAAAACACAGCAGAGGAGTTAGATGCTGAGCTGTGCTGTATGGTGTCGCCGGTCTTCCTGGTGAACTACATGGGCGCCCCGGCCTTGCTTACAATAGCCCCGTTTACACCATCGACACCTGCCCTAACATTCGGATCCACAGGGTCACAGCTTTAGAGGGGAGCTAATGATGCTGGGGATGCTGTTTTACAGTTTTTACTCCAGGGGACGCCCTCCGGCGCGCCTTCCTGAAGCGCTGTGCGGAGGTCCAGGCGGGGAGCTGCCGGGTGACCTCGAGCGAATGGGGTGGGCGACTTTTGGGAAGGGCTCCTGTCGATGGTGAGAACGAGAACAAAGTTGGGCTAAACGTGGCTAAGCCCTCAACCCATTTTAATGGGAGTCTCGGAAAGGCCGGCTTTACGGGGGGCTTCCCCATCCGTTCCCTCGCCTGCATCGAGCTGGCCTTGCGGAAGGAGATTGAGTATATTGAGTGAAGAGAAGGGAGATGAAAAGAGTGGAAAAGAGTGGGGAGACTGAGAGAGGAAATGGCAGGGGCCCATAAAGGGCTCAGCATGCTCAGTTGTTGCCTCCTGTTCGAAGGCCAAGTGACCTCAAGGCTCTCGCAAAGATTTTGTGACGTGACCCGAGGAGCAGCACTCGCTCGTGGCATCCCTGCCGCCTTTCGTGGTGCGCTATCTGGAGAAGGCCGGGGAGCATTTCCCTTAGAGCGGTCTTACATAGCTGTGGCCTGTGGGCTGTGGGCTGTGGGTTTGGGCTTCGGTCTTCGGGGTTTTCGTGGGTTCTGGCAAATTATCCTAGAGTGGACCAGCAGTTGCACGAAGAGGTTTCGAACAAGTTGTTCTTTGCAGGTGCGAGCCCAGACGGACTTCGACAAGTACGGCTCGGTAAGCCCGGCTGTTGTTTTCATGGAACTCCCCGCTTGTTCCACATTTCGCGGACGCCGCAGGTCGTGCTGCCAACAACCGTTGCACCAGATGGTCCCAGAGGCATGCAGCCGGCCTGACAGAATTTCCAGCTTGCGGTCACGCAGAAGATGCGATTCGAGTGCTCATTGCTGCCTTTTTTGGCAGCGAGACCTGGACTGCTCGATTGTTAACCCACCCCTCAGAACTCTGACTGTGCAGGCGACGAACGCCAGGAGCTCTCTGTCGCCCTCTTGCGCAAGGTTCGTGCTTCCGCCAGAAAGGGTTCACACGATTGCTGCAAAACGAAGTGCTCGAAGTGATTAAGGGTTCTTGTTCCCGCCCTCGGACGCTGAATTCGGGAAACTGGCTTCTCCCTTGAAGCCACCACCAATCGTGGCGAAAGGGCTGGACTGTTTAGATCCTGTCAAAAAAGCAACACTCATAGCTCGCTCCGAACGCGATCCGGAAGCCCGGCACCAAGACCACGAGGCTGCGACGACTCCTGGCAGCTCGACTGGAGCTGCTTGGTCTGCATGAGAAGCCATGTGGGTTGGGGAAGGTTGGTCCTGCAGCTGCAGAGCCCTAAATTGTCTTCATTGTTGCACCGGGGTGCCGCAGTGTAGCTGCTGACGATGGTTGGTGATATAATTAATGATGATGATGGTGCTGATATTTGCATGATGGTGGTGATTCGTGGTGATTCGTGGTGATTCGTGGTGATTCGTGGTGATTCGTGGTGATGATGAGATGTCATGAGTTCTTGTGCTCCTGCATGCATCCCCCGAGCTAGCAACTTGAGAGCGTCAGGATGTCTTCAGCTCCGAGATGCACCGCGACGTCAGCGCGTTGCCGCCTCAGCGAGTAGCTTCGCGCCGGAAGAAATCGCCGATCGTAGCTGCAGTGCCGATTGGAGTTTGGTGGCGCAGTACACCTTGGTAGCATGATCGGGAAACCGCTGCGTGGCTGAAGATGCCCGGGCGCATGCAAGACTCCCTCAGCCCTCACCATGCCTTCCCCTCCGTGGCCCACGGGGTTAGCCGGAGTCGGCCGCAGCTTCGGGCCACCTGCATGCAGATGCAACAGCGATTCTCTACAAAAAACATCCGCCGTTAGATGGGGTTGACAGGTGTCTGGGCCACCTGGGCATCGAGCATGAGAATGGAGTCGTGACAGGTGCCTTCCTGAGCACGTCCTCCTAAAGTCTCAACAGCTCTAGGTCCTCTAGGGTTCAGGCCTTGGCACTTGAGAACGCCTCGCTAGGCTTGGGGTTCGAGGTGGGCCTTACGCACGGATCTTGACGGTGCTAAAATGGACGCGGCCTAGCTGAAGTGAAAGCTTTGAAAAACTCGGCGCAACCGCACCCCGACCCAACTGCAAAAGCGCGAACAGCACATGACGGCTCACCGTTCTGTCGAGGTCCCTACCTCTTGGATGTGGTGGCGAAGGACATGGTCAATCCGTCTCGACGAATCGTGTACGAGGTCGCCCCCCCCGCCTTCCACAGCGCCGTCTCGTTGTTTACTAGTTGGTGTGTGTGTGTGTGTGTGTGTGTTTTTAAAGGCCGGGTGCGGATGGGAAGAACTGACGCACCTACGGACACGCGGGCCTCGTACAGACCTCCCTGTGAGCTTTGCGGTGTCAACAGGAAGAGAGCTTTTGCTTTTCGTTTTGCGGACATCGAGGCCTCGAATTTGTTGGACCGTGCTTTCAATCCCGAGACACTTCTGGCTCAGACACACGATGGAAGATGGGTTTGGGTGGCGTTGCCAGAAGCATGTCTTCACATCTTTGCATCGCTGACCCCACCCTGCGAGGTGAATTCGCCACATCATTTCTATGAGGGCACCAAGGACTGAGAGCTTGCTTGTTTCTTGCGTGCGACTTTTCAGGGGTGTTCGCAGCTTGTTAAAGCAAGCTTTCTGGGTTTTTTTTGACCCGACTCTGAGATTCTTTCGCTGTTGGAGGCCTGAGGCTTTAGCAGATCGGAGCCCCCCGAAACAAAATGTCCCTGGCCGAAACTCTAATTTCTGTGTGAATCTAAGCATCCTGGGCCTGTGACCCCCAGGGTTCGGGTGCACGGGGCTTTCGGGCTTGGGTTTGTGCTGGGCAGTCCGAAGATAGGTCCGAAAAGCAGCCCCCTATGATAGGCGTCGATAGACCCCTATACCGACCCTGTCGTTTCTCGATAAGTACTTATGCTGCGGGCCTTCCATCTAACCGTCAGAACCCTATGCTATGCATAGACCCTGCCGGTTTTTTTTATAGACACCCTATGCATAGACCTTACCACTACCTGTGGTATTCCCCTATGTCGCATAGACCCCTGTCCACTTTCCATAGACACCTCCTGGTCCTACCCTGACGATAGACCCTAGCCCGAAAAGAGTAGACCCCTATGCCGTGTCAACCTGTATTCTTAAGAAACAATAGCCCGAATTAAATGCATAGCAATGAGGTTTTGTTCTCTACATACATATTCTCCAGAACCTCAAGGCAGGCAGTGCTTCAATAAGCGCACACCATTATATTGCACGGACCTCGCCTCTGGAATTGTATATGTGTTGACCTTCTCAGTCTAGCTTCTCACAGAATAGTTCGAGTGTTCTTCAGTGGTACTTTTTCAAATCCATCTTAATTCGCACTTTTTTTTTACACAACCTGAAGGCGGCTTAAGCAGAGCGGGGGGTTGGGGCGGTGCAGCGACCCGCACACGATGCTCGCGTGATGGGTTTGAAGAGGATTCATAATATGGTCTTGAAGCAAGCTTGCACGGCCTAAAACAAGGGGGGGGGGGTGGCGCGCACCCCCCACCCCCCCCCGGGATGCGGATCAAAAAAAATTTTTATTTAGGATCAAGAAAAATTTATTTAGGATCAAGAAAAAAGTTATTTAGGATCAAAAAATAATTCATTCGGTTCTTCCGCTGGAGAGAGGGAACCGGAGGGAGGGAGGGAGAAAAAGGAGGGAGGGAGGGAGAGAAGAAAGGGCGGAAGGACGAAAGGAAGGAAGGAAGGAAGGAAGGAAGGAAGGAAGGAAGGAAGGAAGGAAGGAAGGAAGGAAGGCAGGAAGGAAGGAAGCAAGCAAGGAAGCAAGGAAACAAGGAAGCAAGGAATCAAAGAAGCAAGAAAGCAAGGAAGCAAGGAAGCAAAGAAGCAAGGAAGGAAGGAAGGAAGGAAGGAAGGAAGGAAGGAAGGAAGGAAGGAAGGAAGGAAGGAAGGAAGGAATAAATCAAGAAATCAAGAAAGAAAGCAAGAACGAAAGAACAATGAAAGAAATAACAAAAAAAGAAGCAAGGAAGAAGTCGTGCCAGCTTGCTTCAAAGCATACGCATTTTTTCGAAACCCATTATGCGAGCATTGTGTTTGCAAATGGGGGGCGGGGCCCACCCCAACAACCCCCTGCTTCATTGAAGTCGTGCCAGCTTGCTTCAAAGTATACGCGTCTTTCGACGCCTCTGATGCGAGCCTGCACCCCCCTAACCGCCCGTTTATTTTAAGTCGTGCCAGGTGCTTCAGCACACTTTCGAAACCCATGATGCGAGAATTCTGTTTGCGCATGGGGGGGGCGCGCCCCCCCGCCCCAACCCCCCGCTCTTTTTCAAATCTTTCTGGCTTGCTTCAGAGTATACGCATTTTTTTGAAGCTTCTGATGCCAAGATGCCAGCATTGATTTGCAACCACTGGAAAACACAGAAATGCTGCTATTTACAGTATGTCCAGCCTCTGAAAGCGCAGAAATGCTGCTATTTACAGTATTTGCAGCCTCTGGAAACTCAGAAATGCTGCAGTGTACAGTATGTCCAGCCTCTGAAAGCGCAGAACTGCTGCTTTATACAGTATCTGCAGCCTCTCTGGAAACTCAGAAATGCTGCTATTAACAGTAGTTCCCACATGAATGCTGTGTTTTTTCGGTATTTAGAGCTTGCGAACGGCCAGAAATGCGGCATTTCTGAGCGTTTACAGCCTCCGCTCCGCTTGCAACAAGCCTTCGAAGCCTTCAGTAAATTATTGTTTGATCCCAAATACGTTTTTTTTGATCCGCCTAGAAATACATTATTTTTTGATACCAAATATTTTTTTTGATCCCCTACCCCCCCCCCCCCCCCAATTTGCAAACACGATGCTCGTGCGGTGGGCTTGGAAGGGATTCGTATGGTCTTTTAGGGTTTTGGGCTTAGGGCTTAGGGTTTTGTAGGGTTTAGGATTTAGGGTTTAGGGGTGTTTAGGGTTTGGGTTTGGGGGCCTTTAGGGTTTAGGGTTTAGGGGTTTTCAGGGTTTAGGGTTTAGGGAGTGTTTCGGGTTTAGGGTTTGCAGAGGGGTTTTTGGGGTTTGGGGTTCGGGGGTTTTTGGGGTTTAGGGGTTTTAGGGTTTAGGGTTTAGTTTTTTTAAGGTTTGGGGCTTAGGCTTAGGGATTTTTAAGGTTTTCGGGTTTCGGGGTTTTTAGAGTTCAGGGTTCTTCGGGTTTAGGGCTCAGGGTTTTTGGGTTTTTGGGTTTTTAGGGTTTTTAGGGTTTTTAGGGTTTTTAGGGTTTTTAGGGTTTTTAGGGTTTTTAGGGTTTTTAGGGTTTTTAGGGTTCAGCGGGTGGTTCGGGTTTAGGGTTCACAGTAGGGTTTTTTAGGGTTTAGGGTTTTGGTTTAGGGTTGAGGTTTTTTTTGGGGTTTGGGGTTTAGGGGGTTTTAGGGCTCATGGATATTTAGGGTTTTTTGGGTTTAGAGTTTAGGGGTTTTTAGAGTCAATTCTTCGGTTTAGGGCTCAGGGGTTTTCCGGGTTTAGGGTTGAGGGGTTTCAGGGTTTGGGGGTTAGGGTTTCTTTAGGGTTTAGGGTGTAGGGCACTTTAGGGTTTAAGGGTTTAAGTTTTTTTAGGGTTCAGGCGTTTTTTTGGGTCCAGGGCTTAGGGCTTTTTAGGGTTGAGGGGTTAGGGGTCTTCAGTTTCAGGTTTTGCGTTTTTTTTGGGGGGTTTTAGGGCTTAGGGTTTTCTGGGTTTAGGGCTCGCTGATTTTTTTTTCTCCGGTTTAGGGTTTAGGGTTTTTGGGTTTTTAGGTTTTTAGGGTTTTCTTTGGGTTTAGGGTTTTAGGGTTTTCTTAGAGCTTAGGATTTAGGGCTTTTCAGGGTCTGGGGTTAGGGGTTTTTAGCGCTTAGGGGTAGTCAGGGTTTAGCCTTTAGGGGTTTTAGGATGTAGGGGTTAGGGTTTCTTTAGGGTTTGGGGTTTAGGGTTTAAGGTTAGGGTTTAGGTACTTTTTAGGGTTTGGGGTTTAAGGTTTTTTTAGGGTTTAGGGTTTAGGCTCCTCGGTGTTTAGGCATGGGGACCTATCTAAAACTGAAAGGGGTCTATCGCCCGCGTAGGGGTCTATGCCAAAGTGGCGCCCCTTATGTAGGCTCCTATCGCACCTATGGGATGGGCTGTGCACAAGTGCGTATCCTGTAGATAAGGGTTTATGGGCTCGGGGTAGGTGGGGAGACGGCTACTTATCGAACTCTTACTCGGCAGTCCAACATCTTACAGACCCTAAGCCTACCCTTTCCCCTAAGCGGCCAAGCACCTCAAAGTACATGCACCGAACCTGAGAAACCCCAAACGAAAAACTCTATCCGATCCCTAGCCCTGCGCTCAAGGCCCTTGTTGCGGAGAAGCGTCTCCGTCATCGCCTCCTCGGGCGTCTGGGGCCTCTTGGACTGTGCGGCTTTTTGTGTTACGAACTTTTGAATTATGAGTACATGTTGGGTTAACACCAGCAACTATGCTTAGGTTCGTCTTTGGAGAGGAGGGTTCAAGCACCCCAACTCATTCACAACCGCGAAGCGGATGGGGGAGGGGGGGTGAAGAAGGAACAGCCCAGGCACACGCTCCACATGGTCAATGCTCATGACTGGAGGCTCGATTGTGTATTGTGGGTGGTGCACGGGACACATCTAGCATGTTCGCAAGTTTCTGGGAATATCGTTCCGTCAAGTTTGTCCTGGGGTTTGCTTGAGTATGCGTCGTTTGCTTCCATTCAGCGGTGGGTTGCGACCGTTATGGCTAATTTCAACAGAGTCAGAACATTCAGAACCCACGTCAAAAGTAGCCCCACTTGACAGGCCCCTGTCCGCTGCTGCCAAGATGACCTTCCTGCTGAAAATCCAGCAGGAGCAGCAGGCCCGGCTTGAAGAGAAGAGGTATACTGTGTAGGTACTCGTGCAGGACCTTTTAAACGTGGGGAGGCTTTCGGGAACCGGGACGGATGGTGTCGGATGGTGTCGGATGGTGTCGGATGGTGTCGGATGGTGTCGGATGGTGTCGGATGGTGTCGGATGGTGTCGGATGGTGTCGCCAGGACAAGCACAGCGACGAGTACAAACAGAAGGCCGGCGCGAGGGCGAGGGTCGCGTGGTTTTGATGTTGCTGAGACCACACCCACTTGGAGATTTTGGACTGAAAAGGAAGTTCTCCCTCACTTTGAACGGTTAGCTCCAGCACCTGCCTGGACTCCACAAACAATTCTGCCGAAGGCCGCTGCGAATGTCGCGCGTGCTCCCGATGCTGCGAAGCAGCACCTTGACATTGGTATCCAGTGACGACTAAGCCTGAAATCCATGCCAGCAGGGTAAGGGGCCAGCAAAAAGACTTCGTACCAGTTCCTGGTCTGAAATGTCCGTCCTTTATAACTTATCACTGAACTTACGTCTGCCACTGATCCCTAAACTTGTCGGTAGTTGAAGTTCCCTTTTCTTTTTGATTCCAAGGACTGCAAATGCCAATATTCCCTCACTCCCTGAGTCTTTGAAGCTGGCTTTGATGGCCCTCAGATGAGTTCTTTTGCCAGCCTCCTGATCCCCAAAGACCCTTGACAAGAACATTGCCTCAATCCCTGAAGACA